GACAGATAGAGGTCGCTGCTGAGGCCACGAAGGCGGGGGCGGTTCACGACGACGACGGAGGGGAAGCTGACACCGGCAACGGTAATAACACAAAACAGGAAGTTAAAGCCTCGAGGACGAGTCGACACTGACAAGAAGATACAGAGTTACTGTTGCATTCTGGGAAAAGGGGAATCTGTTCAATCTTTTTAATTAATGAAGCAGGAAAAATACTGATAATTATAAATCGGGGAGTAAGAAAAGTAACGAAACACTGAAATGTTGTGATGTTTAGTTTCATGACGGTCAGTGATCAGTCTGAGCCGGGACTCCTGTTCTGACGGTGTTGGTAACCGTGTCTCTGTGTCTCCGTGTCTCCTGCAGCCGGGGGCAACAGGAAAGACAAATCTCTCCGCATCATGAGTCAGAAGTTTGTCATGCTGTTCCTGGTGTCCAGAACTCTGACCGTTACTCTGGACGCAGCCGCCAAGATCCTGATCGATGAGAGTCAGGACTCGTCAAGTCACAGCAAATACAAAAGTAAGGAGCGCGGCACCAGTACTGGAACACAGGACTGTGGAAAAGTTCTAGTTTTCTGACGAGGTCATTTCTTTTGTCATCAGCTAAAGTGCGTCGACTGTACGACATCGCCAACGTCCTGACCAGCCTGGGCCTCATAAAGAAGGTTCATGTCCGCGAGGAGAAGGGCCGGAAGCCGGCCTTCAGGTGGCTTGGACCAGTGGAGTTCAACAACCAGGGAAATCCTGGTAAGAAACGTCTGAGACCATGTGACCTTCTCTGAGCTGGACTTACTTCACGTTGGGAACCACAGTTTGAATCACATATGATACTTAGTATTTGTAACTTGTTAACTAGGTCAAACAAACTAACTCACTGACTAACTCTGACTTCACAGCCATCGCTGCACAGCCAATGACGGACAGAACCACGGGTCAAAAGGTCAAAATGACACGTCACTCCTCCTTCAACATCACCCCCACGTCGGCCGCCGTCCTCCGTCAGGTCTACTCTGCTCCCAGCAGCCCACGCAGAGACACCCCAGGTCTGTGTGGGTCAAGAGGTCAAAGTTCAGACTGTGGTTCTGTTTATTAAGTGACTGTATTTTCCTCCGACTGCAGCAGTGACCACTGACCCAGCAGAGCTTCACAGAAGGACCACCACCAACAGTGCAGTCTGTAGACTTCAGTTTGGAGCCAGCCCAGAGTGAGTGGACCACACACACACACACACACACACCTCAGAGCAGTTTTACATCTTTGTGGTTTTTCTCCAGCAGCAGCGGCAGGCAGCGACCTTTGACCTCCGCCCCCTCCCCACACTGCCTGGCCTACCTGACTAGTCTGTCCCAGCCCTCTGTGGTCATGCTCTACGGGTCGTTTGACCAGCCGCCTGAAGGTCAGAGGTCACCCAGGCTGGAGGGTGAGGAGGTGAGGAAGAGGAAAAGAGAAGAGACGCTGGAGGAAGAACAAGGAGCGCTGGGAAAAAAGAGGGCGGAGCATGAAAAGGTGAGATGTTAATTAGTCTGAATCAGATGATTTTGGATTAATAACATTGTTATAACCATTGTTATAATCATTATTATCATCAAACTATTATTATTATTACCAGGTCATTTCATTAACTACGAGACTCTGTTTATCTGTCCAGATAATATCGACACCTAGTGGAGATACAGAGGACTGTTCTTGTACTGATGCCACCAAGATTTCAACCAATCACTCAGAAGGACGGCCCCCAGGTCTACAGCCAACCAGCAGTGACCACAGCAGAGACCTCCTCCAGCCGTCACCCTACCTCTACCTGCCAAACAACACCGGTAGGTCAGAAGGTCAACTACTGTCCACTACTGCCCTCTACTGCCCTCTACTGTCCAACATAAATAACTGTGGAAACACTGATTTATCTCTGTAGACTCCCCTCTGTAGACTCTCCTCTGTAGACCCCCCTCTCTGTAGACTCCCCTCTCTGTAGACTCTCCTCTCTGTAGACTCTCCTCTCTGTAGACTCTCCTCTGTAGACTCTCCTCTCTGTAGACTC